AGTTCTATGAATGGCTGGAGACGGCTTAAATAGTTCTATGAAAGTACACTAGATGGAAGCATGTATGCGCGCGAGTGTGTGCGAGAAAGTGAAAGACAGAGAGAATATCTTTTTGACATAATATTTCAAATGTAGAAGTCAGACCCCTTAGTAACGGTTTCAACTTCTGTCCGATCGATAACTTAGTAAATCAATTAACCTAAACTCCTTTCTGATCTATACGAATTCTCTCGAAAACTCGTATTCCGCAAATATTTTTACAAAGAAAAGCCCTCTTTGGGTACCTCCACCAAACAGAGGACCACATTTTGAGTTATATTAAATTACATAATAAAAATCTTCGAAGCAATGTCATTATAATGTGAACCAACAAGAAGTAACTGCCCCAAAGGATTTTAAATCTGACAACAATATTATAATAAAGTCAGCGGACAATGATGGGGCTAATGCTATTTTTAACAAAGATGATTATATCGCTGAATCTGACCACCAATTTGAGAACACTAATTTCTACAATAAATTCACATAGAACCTTTCAGGTCAGTTTACTAAACTATTAATGACAAACTTAAAGAGCTCCTTTAAAATAAGAAAACATACAAACCTTCCAGATTTGTCCAGATAAATTTTATCTCTTAACCCAAATGCACCAGCCTAATAATCTCGACCGACACATGGTTTCTAACAGAAACATTATCGCTAAGAAGCTTTATACTTTTGTTAACCACCACATAAAAGATATTCCCTGTATTCTCACGTTAAGGATACGACTCACTTTATAAATATCATTCAGGAAATTAATGACAACCTAAATTTACCTCCTAGTAGCCTTCTGTGTACAATGGATGTTTCTTCCATTTTCACTAATCACAAACATTCCACACGATAATAGACTTGAAATTATAAAATTTGTCCTAAATCCTGCTATTTGTTAGTAAAAGAGTAGCGCAAGAATTTGCGGTGGTGGATTCTATTATTTCAAATTAGGGACGTCTAACGCATAGTAGCTTTGCGTGAAATTCGACCAAACAAAAAAGTTTTTCTGTACTTTATTTTGTTGGTACCTTTTATAGTTTTCCTTTTAATTTACATGTTTCTAACCACTTCATTTCTAACATTGTCGTTTCTCAATTTATTCTTGTCGTATTTCAAAACGGAGATTAGTCACACTTACAATATTCGTTTGGAAGCTGATCAAAGCACTTCCACATTAATATGATAGTCTACCTTACGTAATCATGACGTCACTCCATTTAATCATACCCAGTTCGCCTTTGATGAAGAAGGTATACTTTTCGAAAACCTTAGGTTATGGAGTTTATTATTTTTGTCTTTCATTGATTTTTTTAGTCTGTGTGTTCTCTTAACATCACATATAACACACACACACACATATATTTATGAATGTGCAGAAGTGGATAATTTAAATATTTTAGGGTATTATGCACATTGTCCTGTTAATATGAATAATTATCGCTGGATAATGTGCATATTGACCGGTTACTTTGCCATACCACGTTATTTAACAGAGAAATATGTACATTTTCAACTACTTTGGTTAATGTGCATAATTGACAATAAATATGCCCATTTCCTAAATATACACATATATTATATGTATCAAACATAAAAATTCTAAGAATACACAAGAAAAAAAAATGTATATATAGTTTCTTAGAAGTACACTAGATGGCAACCTCAATTACTACATGAGTATCGAAAATCTTCTTGCAGACTGTTTCCAAGAATGTACTCATCTGAATAAGATATTCCATTTTTGAGTTGTTTCTATTGATACTCATTCTAACCATTTCTAAAACTATAAAGTGATCTTTTGACTAGCTCAATAAGTTGCTTATATTCCATTATTTGAAACAGATTAGTTGATTATAAATATACATTCAGAGAAATTTAAGGCCACTTCAATATAGCGTCGTGGCGTTCGGATAGCAATAACAGAATTTTATAGGCCAGGCTATCTTTTGATTCAACTTTCAACACGCTCTATTGAGTAAAATAACTTGTGACATTGTCGTTACTGTTTGTTGTGTGCGTACAATGTTTCGAATTTATAATAGAAAAATATAGTAGTCCACTAGAACACCAAAACATTTTAGTTTACGAAGAGTGTTGCACAAATACTTTTAAAAAATGCAAACAAGTTAGTAAATCATTCCAACCCTTGTTGATTTTCCCAAGCCTTGGTTGTAGGCTCACTGGATAACACGGCCAATCGTTGGAAAAGGTTGGAAAAATATTAAGTACAAATCACATGGCAAAAATTTAAACTTAACTATTTCAATAGCCACTTTTCTTCTTAAATAGCAGCTAATAATGTCCTGAACGATTCAACTCAGAGTTTACTCTAGAAAAATATTATGGTCGCTTTTCCAATTAAATGTCACTTAGAGTTAGATGTTTGGGCTAAACAAATAAAGTGAGTTTTAAGTTGCATAATGAGTTATATGGACTGTGCTTACCCCAGTGATCGAACCTCGAATTTTAGCATTTTAAGCTTCCATGTTTACCGTTGAGCCACCGGTTAACGTGGTTACACAAATTACTTTTGGGAGAAATACGACATCGCTCTCTTAAAACTTACTTTAATATATTCACGTCTTATTTAGTCAGTGCCACCTACATTTTTGTATCATATTTTAGTGAGAAAACGCAATAAAGAAGTTTACAAAAACATTTCTAAACGATTTTCTTAATTATAGTGTAAATCCTCACGCTTTAATAATTACTTGAAACTGAAATTTGAAGTAATTAGAAGTTGATAGAATTTTTGAAGTCACTTTATAGTTTGATAGATTTGTCATAGTGTCCAATAAAAATATATAGCCCCAGTGGCACAGCGCTGTGTCTGCAGACTTACAACGCTTAACTACAAAGAAACGAAAAAAAAAATGTATGAAATGTGTGTTTAATATAAAATCTCTATTTTTTTTTTATAAATATTACACATATATATTTCGTTTGTTAACTCGCAATTATAGCCAAAACTTTATGTTAGGTAGAACTGTTAATGTAAGTTCATTGCTGTGTTTAGTTTTTGGAACGTACAAGATGTGTTTTCGACTTCGAGCTTATAAATTCACGACGTGTTCCTATTTCAGAATGTTTTTCTTGAAATAGTTATGGGACAACTTTTCATTTAAGTTAATGTGATGCTTGAGAAATCACAAATAATACATTATTATCTTCTGAAAGCACTTTATTAGTATATACTGTTTTACCATCGAGAAATGATAACGACAAAACATCACAGCACTTACATTTACAAAATTTTCTAAAGGAAATACCAATGCCATTTTACATCTTAGTGCTGCTTTCCGCAGATGGTCGACTGACGTAGCTTTGTTCTGGAAGTTGAGTACGAATGCAGCCAAAGAGTCGTAGAAATGTTCTCCTAATCTCAGTGCTACATAGACAATAAACATAAAAGTTCATGGCGAAGTTTGCCAACTCTAAAACGTTCGCGATAGCCCGAAATAACTGGAAGCCGAAATCGAGTTCCCTGTGGTCGCTATTCAGGAGGGTCAAGATGGCCGCTGGAGTCATGCAAACAAAAAACAGAATTACAATTCCACCTAACAAGACCACCAGACGACGCTCTTCTCTAAACTTTCTGGTGCTTTCTTTTTGGCTGTAGTTGCTGTTGGAGCTGTTCAAAAGTTCTCTCCGTTTGCGAACTGTCTTTCTGAAGGTCACAATGATGGCGGTGTTCATGATCGCTAAGAGTATCACTGGCCCAATCCTCACAATGATCTCTTTTACCAGTAAGTAAAATCTGAAACCAGTATGGTTGAACACAGCCTGGTTTTCACAGGCGATAAAAACGGTTTCGTTTCGGTCATTTTGCACTGCAATAGGTTCCTTCTGGAAACAAATGGGCACGTAGATACAAAACGCTAATACATAGGCGGCTATTATGGATCTTCGAGCTCTGAGGTCATTGTGGACTTCTTTGTATCTAGTGGGCAGACAAATTGAAAAGTAGCGATCAATGGTTAGGGCCACTACTAGGAACACACTGCTCGCCATGAAGGCGTTGACCAGTGCTAACTCCACGTAAGAATAATACAAAGATACAGCAAAACTACGAGGCTGAATTCCATGAAGTCGAAGTAAAGAAGTCGCACTAACCAAAAGAGTCATTAAGTCAGAAGTTGCCAACCAAGTCAGATACACAAAGGTAACACCTTTTAAATTAGGCCTAGTAAGTACCACTAAGTTAATCAAATTTCCCAGAATTCCCAATCCAATAACAACAGAACCTATGACACCATATCCAAGGAACTTCAACTGATGAATGTCCGATTCGAGCTCAACATCTTTGGAATACAAAAAAAGGGAAGCATTGTGATCGATAAACAAAGTGTCGTTTGTTAGGTCATTTGTTATGATGTCAACAGCCATTGGACATTCCGCCATCTTGATTTCCTGTTTAAGTATAAATACATTCTTAGAAAGTAGTCATAAATCGTGTATACATAACAAAATAAAACTGTTAAGTAGTCAAGGTACTAGTTTAAGTGAAAACATACACTTAGTATTGAGAATACAAATTTCATCAGAAACATTTCAGCATTATTAAAATATCTTCAGTCGCTTAAAGCTAATAAATATTGAAAATAATTTCCATATCTGTTTAATGATTTGACTAACTTGTAGGTTTGTCTGTTTTAAAACAAAGCCACATTGGGCTCTCTTCTGTATTCACCGTGGGAAATCGAAACCCGAATTTTAGCGTTCGTAAACTTACCATTGTCTCAGCAGGAGACCTAACTTGTAAGTAATTCTGTCTTGGTAAACGCTTGAAAACTATGTGTGTGTGTGTGGAACCATTTAGTAATTTAATACAAAATGAAAATGCTTTCTCAATCGGAATAAATACAAAATACAAGAAGATTAAATGCTAACAAGAATGGTGAAATAAAGAAAACTGTTCAATCAGCTTTTCCTCGTGAAAGCCGTAAGCTTTTGTTAACTTTCAAGCGAAGAGTTTAGCTCACAAAATGTAATAAGAACCCAACACAGATGGTGGCTTCTCAGCTTTCATACATTTCTCTTGAAAGTCCAATAAAGTTTAATCCATCATGGTTTTGTTCCGCTTGTCTTACCGTAGAACACATAATTAATCAACTCAAACACGACCTTAGCGTCTTGATTTCCGCAAGATAACCACTTGCATAGATGACCAAATCAATTTCTATTAATATAACAAGTTTTACTGGAAACTATGATTTTAAACTTTATTAATATAACAAGTTTTACTGG